TGAGATTTGAACAGCCGAACTGCAGAACTAGCAGTCAGCTGAAGTGGCCTGCAGTGCTGCACCCTAACCACTGCGCCACCTCGGCTCTTACTAGTGGGCTTATAAGGACTCTTCCCGATGTCTTTAAACCGCTGCTTGCTGGTTTCTGCTGTTATTGTCCAAAACTGCCTTTGGGGAAAACAGCTGCATGTTTCCTCCTTTTTCAGAAATGTCTCTTAGACCAGTGTTTCTCAACCTTGTCAACTTGAAGTCCACAGGACTTCAAGTTGACAAGGTTGAGAAACACTGTCTTAGACCACCCACCGCTGCGCAGTTCCAGGACCGAAGGTGGTTCATGGCGAACCCTCTACCTGGCTGAGCAGCGTAGCTCATGATCCTGATGAGCCTCTCCGCAAGGCCGGGGTTGTAGGAGTTCTTCTCCTCGGCGTCCTGTGCCCAGAGCTGAATCCTCTCCAGGGTGATGGGCTTGATTCCTTGGGAGGAACAGGAACGGAATGCTGCCATTAGAACTCGGTTTGGCAAAGCAATTCCCAGAACCACAGGAAAGACAAAGGGCAGCTCGGCTTGCAATACAATTCCTCAAAGCTGACCACACAAAAATTTGGAAAGCTTCGGAGGCGAGGATTTAATTATTTCATTAGACCCAACTTTAAGCCGACTCTGGGCTGCTAATAAAGGTGGTGAAACAGGAGCCCCATTCAGACAACGTGAACAGCCCGCTTTCCTCCCTCTCTCCTCTCCACTGAATTCATCTTTAGCTTCCCTCCAGCTCGTGACCCTGATAAGCATCTTGAAAGTCTTGGGACCACGTGGTTCCTCTCCTTCTCAAGTAGCAGCTCCACCACCCCTCCTCTGGTCAATTCCTCCTGTGTCTCCTGACCCCTGGATGGTTTTGACCCTTGGGAGGGGGAGAAAGGGCTGATGAAACCTAAATCAAACTCTTGAGAGCCACTTCAAGCCTCCCTCTGGATGTGCTTCTCACTTCCTCCGTACAAAGAATGTTCTCACAAGGCACTCTAGTACTCAGAGAGGATGCAGAGCCAAGAGGATGTCTATCCCAGGGGGCCAAAGGGGGCCTCTGATGCCCCAGGCTGCAGTCTGAGTCAAAAGCTGCGTCCGTTGGCGTTTAGCCATTGGCACCAGCATCTCAGTAGCCCAGCGAGGTCACAATCAGCACCTCTTTNGACATCTTCAAGTTGCCAAGGTTGAGAAACACTGCTTTAAACCTTTTAAGTGACAACCCCCTCTGTCCTCTGTCCCTTCCAACAGTGGTCAGGGACTCCTTCCGCACAGCTAATCTGCCGTCTTGGAAACTGTCTTTTGCTCCGCGCAAACTTTGTGAGGAGCCATTCAATGCAGAAACATCCAAAACCTGAAGTGGCTCAGAGGCCACAAAAGATCAGAGCCAGGCAGGCGCATATTGGAAAGGTTCTATCGAGCAGGAGAGAAACGACCGAGCGCCTGGCGTCGCACTGCAAGGGTTTCTGTGGGAACCAGAACAGCCGCGCCCAGCTCCCTTGGGTCTTTCCAGAATTCAGTTTGGGAAGAGTTAAAAGACTGGGAGGTTACCTTGTAAAAACGCCGCACCAGGTGAACGCTTTCTTCTCTTGCCCCCTTAAAGAGAGAAATGAAAAATCCTCCATTCAGGACACAAGATATTGAGGATAACAGACGTCGCATGCCGCCTCCCTGCCTGATTTCCCTTCCCCAACACGAAGGATTTGCTCCCTGAAAATGATTAAGGAAGACATGGGCCATGGCGTTCCTTCATAAGGACCACGTAGGCTGGGAGAAATGGGTGGAAGGGAAAGAGGGAACGCCTACGAAGAGCAGCTGGCTATTGGCAAGGATCACAAATCAAAAGCAGCACAGGGTCAAGAAAGGAATCCCTCTTCCGAGGAATCCAGGTGGGGCGGCTCAGACTCAGCTGCCGAGGGATGGAGGGTTCACAGGGGAGCCCTGAGCCTCAGAGTCCCGCTATCCACCACCCTTGCTGGGAAAAGCAGGGACAGGCTCCAGCTGCACAGAGGGGTCTCCTAGCGGGAAAGGCATCATTTGCGGTTCGGCAATTTACTTTGGAAGAGAGATGGGCCTAACAGGACAAATCACCTCTGGGAGACAGTTTTGTCCTTTTGGTTTCGTTTTGGAAAAAAGAGAAAAGACTCACTTCCAAACAAGCAAGGTGCACATCCTTGATAATGCTGCCGTGTTTGTTGAACACCAGCTGCTTCAACAGGAGGCAGCCGAGCTCCAGGGTGGCCAGACGGATTTTGCCATCTGTGGGGTGGGGGGTGGGGGTGGGGAGAGGGAAACAGAGCAGAAGGTTCAGAGAAAACTCATTGAACTGTTGACACTTTTTCCTGGCAGATTCAGTTTCAGTTCACATCTGTCCCACACCAATTCAAGGTGTGGGGTGTGTGTGTGTGTGTGTGTGTGTGTGTGTGTGTGTG